CACTCCTGTTCAGCGCTTCTCACTGGGGCAACTCCAGAGTTGAAAAGTGTCCAACCCCTCTCAAGGAAACTGGTTCCAGAGCCAGAGCCATTCGTCAAGGTGAGTCCGACTATTTCTAGCCGGAACCTCTCAACCTCACACACCAGCTCAAGCTCCTTCCCCGCCAGAGAGGTCACATTCCACGTCCCAATAGCCAGCTTCTATAGCCGAGGATCAGACTGCCAAGGTCCCCGTCCTCGGTCACCACCCATCCCACATTGCACCTGACCCCTTTGGCCCCTCCCAAAGGTGGTGAGCCCATGGGAAGGGGGACCTACATCTCCTCTTTGGGCTGTGCCCAGCCAGGCTCCATGGGTAAAAGCCCGGCCACCAGGTGCTCACCAGCGTGCCCCACTCCCAGGCCCAGCTCCAGAATGGGGCCCCAGTGACCCACGTCCGGGTGAGGGAACATTGGTTCCATTAATTTTAATCTTCATAGAGGTCTTTGGGCTGCACTTTGTCTGGTTCCTCACCTAGGACCTGTCTGCCTTGGGTGACCCTACTATCAGCATGAAGCCCCTGACAGCATAGCTCCTAGGATCATTGGGACACTCAAACCCCTCCACAATGGTAAGGTGGCAGCAGTAAAAGTAATCATACCAGTGGTTTTGTCAGGCTGCTTTTTGAGCTTTATCACAGTGAAGAAAGCTAATTTCAATCTAACAATATTACTCTGTGCTTCCAGTTATGCACAGGGAACATTGTACACAGGAGAAGTTTGAATTATAGTCAATGGGACTTGAGTTCAACCACAACATATCAGATTTATTGATCTTTGTCACTTCATCATTCCATTAGATTCAGGTTTTAATCCTATAAGACCTTCAATTGAATACAACATGGCAAGACAATGTGGAGTAAAAATCTGACCACGCTAAAGAGCACAAGCTTTTCTGAATAAACAACATACCTCTCTTACACCATGAGTTAATAATTTTTATTTGGCATGCTGTAAGTGACACTAATTGCTCAAAGGTTGCATACATTGTAGAAATTATCTGGCTTAGTTTTGTGTTAAACATTGCAGAATCAATGCATTATTTATTTTTTGTCTCAAATTATATGATTTTCTAAAATAACATTCTTTGTGGAGTTACATATTTTTCCACAATAGCAACATAAATTAATCACCATAGAAATCAGCTCCAAACTGTGAGTAAATTAAAACATGGGAACCAGCTCTCTGCTACCCCTCCCCTGTTACATCCATCTATCCATTATCTTCCACTTATTCTGAAGTCGGGTCACGGGGGCAGCAGCTTGAGCAGGGAAGCCCATACATCTCTTTCCACAGCCAGCTCTTCTGGGAGGATTCCAAGGCGTTCTCAGGCCAACCAAGAGACAGTCTCTCCTGCATGTCCTAGGTCTTCCCCCGGGGTCTCCTCCCAGTCGGACATGCCCAAAGCACCTCCCTAGGGAGACGTCCAGGGGGCATCCTTACCAGTTGCCCAAACCACCTCAACTGGCTCCTCTCGGATGTGGAAAAGCAGTGGTTCTACTCTGAGTCTCTCCCGGAAAACTGAACTTCTCACTCTATCTCTAAGGGACAGTCCAGCTACCCTGCGGAGGAAACTCATTTTAACCGCCTGTATCTGTGATCTCATTCTTTCGGTCACTACCCAGAGCTTGTGACCAAAGGTGAGGGTAGGAACATAGACCGATTGATAAACAGAGAGTTTTGCCTTACAGCTCGGCTCTCTCTTCACCACAACAGACCAGTACAGAGTCCGCAATACTGCAGATGCTGCACCAATCCATCAGTCAATCTCACACTCCATTCTTCCCTCACTCATGAACAAAACCCAGAGATACTTGACCTCCTCCACTTGAGGCAGAACCTCACCCTCTAGCAGAGTGTTGTATGAATGGGTAAATGAGGGCACATATTGTAGTGGAAAGTGCTTTGAGTGTCTCGATAAGATAGAAAGGCGCTATATAAGTACAGTCCATTTACCATTTACCCTCGACCCAAAGAGAGCAATCCACCCTTTTCCTGTTCAGGACTATGATCTCAGATTTGGAGGTGTGATTCTCATCCTGGGCACAACTGGTAGAGCTACTGCCTCTCAGCGAGCAGGTCCTTGGTTCAAACCCTGGTCCAGGGGCCTTTCTGGGTGGAGTTTGCATGTTCTCTCTGTGCATGCGTGGGTTTTCTCCGGGTACTCTGGTTTCCTCCCTCAGACCAAAAACATGCATGTTAGGTTGATTGGTACCTCTAAATTGTCCCTAGGTGTGAGTGAGAGAGTGAATGTTTTTTTGGTCTCGTTTGTCTCTGTGTGGCCCTGTCATGGACTTGCGACCCATCCAGGGTGTACCCCGCCCCTCAGGGAAAAGATAATGGATGGATGGATGGATGGATGATTCTCATCCCAGCTGCTTCACACTCGGCTGCGAACTGCTCCAGTGAGAGCTGAAGCTCATAGCCCGATGACACCAACAGGACCACATCATCTGCAAAATCAGAGATGGAATCCTGAGGCCACCACCCAGAAAACCTCTGCCCACTGGTTGCACCGAGAAATTCTGTTCATAAAAGTTATGAACAGAATCGTGACAACGGGCTGCCCTGATGGAGTCCAACTCCCACCCTGAAGGGGTCTGACTTAATGCTGGCAATGCGAACCAAGCTATCGCACCACTTGTATAAGGACTGAACAGCCCATAGTAACGGACCCCCAATCCCGCACACATGGAGTCCCCCCCCCCCACACACACACACACAGTGTACCCCGAGGAACACGGTCGAATGCCTTCTCCAAGTCCACACACATGTAGACAAGATGGGCAAACTCTCATGACCCCCCGAGGACCCTAGTGAGTGTAAAGACCTGATCCAGTGTTCCACGTCCCCAACAGAACCATGTTGTTCCTCCTGGATCTGAGGTTCGACCAATGATCGGACTTGCTTCTCCAGTACCCCTGAATAGACCTTACTAGGTAGGCTGAGGAGAGTGATACCCCTATAATTGGAGCACACACTTTGATCCCCTTTTTTGAAGAGGGGAACCACCACCCCAGTCTGCCAATTCAGTGGCACTGCCCCCGATGTCCACACGGCATTGCAAAGGCATGTCAACCAAGACAGCTCCACAACATCCAGAGCCTTAAGGAAATCAGGGTGAATCTCATTCTCTCCCGGAGCCCTGCTGTCACAGAACTCTATAGCTAACTTGGCAACCTCAGCCACAGTTATGGATGGATCAATCCCAAAGTCCCCCAACTCATCTTCCTCTATGGAAGATGTGCTGGTGGGATTGAGAAGGTCCGAGAAGTATTACTTCCACCTCCCAATGACATCACTGGTTGAGATCAACAGCAGCCCACCTTAACTGAATACAGTGTTAGTAAAGGGCTGCTTTCCCCTCCTCAGCTGCCTAATGGTTTGCCAGAATCTTCTCTAGGCCAACCAAGAGTCGCTATCCAAGGTCTCACCGAACTCCTCCCACATCCGAGCTTTTGCCTCAGAAACAGCCAAGGCTATAGACCGCTTGGACCTCTGGTACTCCTCAGCTGCTTCCAGAGTCCCACTGGCCAACAAGGCCCGATAGGACTCCTCCTTCAGCTTGACAGCCTCCCTAAACCGGGGTGTTCACCACCAAGTTCATGGATGGCCTCCGTGAGAAGCACCAACAACCTTGCAGCCACAGCTCAAGGCAGCTACCTTGACAAGTGAGGCGCGGAACATGGCCCACTAAGACTCAATGTCCTACCTCAGCTCGGATGCGGTTAAAGCTCTCCTGGAGGTGCGAGTTGAAGATCTCTCTGATGGGTTCTTCTGCCAGGCATTCCCAGCAAACTCTCACTACACGTTTGGGTCTACCAGGTGTGTCCGGCATCTTCCCCCGCCATCTGATCCAACTCACTACCAGGTGGTGATCAGTTGACAGCTCAGCTCCTCTCTTCATCCGAGTGTCCAAAACAAACAGCCGCAAATCAGATGACATGACTATGGTCTATCATTGATCTATGTCCTAGGGCATCCTGGTGCCAAGTGCACTTATGGATACCCTTATGTTCAAACATGGTGTTTGTGATGGACAAACTATGACTAGCACAGAAGTCCATCAATAGAACACAGCTCGGGTTCAGATCAGAGAGGCCATTCCTCCCAATCACGCCCCCCCAGGTCACACTGTCATTACCCATGTGGGCATTGAAGTCCCCCAGCAGAATAAAGGAGTCCCCAGCTGGTGCACCTTCCAGCACCCCCTTCCAAGGACTCCAAGAAGGCCGGATACTCTGAACTGCCATTTGGTGCATAGGCACAGACAACAGTCAGAGTCGGTCCCCCCACCAGAAGGTGAAGGGAAGCCACCCTCTCATCTACCATACCATACAATTTTATTTATAAAGCACTTTAAACAGCAACAGGGCCAACCAAAGTGCTGTACAAACAGAAACAAACAGGAAAAGCACACAGCAACACAGCAACACAGCAACACATAACATAACGTAAAATCAAAATATAGAAACAAAATAATAGCAGATAATAACATAATGACTAACAGTGTGTTGCATACAGGTTCAACACAAATCATACAGTGATGAAAGCTACCGGGGAAAACTCCAACACACAGGCACTAAGTCAGGGGGCTACAAGTAGACCAACATCAGCTCGACACCTCGCACCATGGGCAACTCCAGAGTGGAATAAGTTCCAGCCCCTCTCAAGGAGATCGGTTCCAGAGCCCATGCTGTGCGTTGAGGTGAGCCCAACTACTTTGCATATCTAGTCAGTACCTCTCAACCTCATGCACAAGCTCAGGCTCCTTCCCCACCAGAGAGGTCCCGTTCCATGTTCCAAGAGCCAGCTTTGGCATCAGGCTCAGAGCACCAAAGTCCCCGCCTTTGGCCACTGCCCATGGCATCACGCACCCAACTTTTATGGCCCTTCCTGCAGTGGTGGATCCACAGGAAGGCAAACCCATGCTGCTCCTTCGAGCTGAGCCTGACCAGGCCCCATGGGTAGAGACCCGGTCACCAGGTGCTTGCTGACAAGCCCCTCCTCCAGGCCCGGCTCCAGGGTAGAGCCCCGGTAACCCACATCTGGGCAAGGGACACCGAGTTCCTTGCTGTGTCATGTCCATAAAAATCTTCTGAATCACTCTTTGTCTGGCCTGTCACCTAGGACCAATCTGCCTTGGGAGACCCTACCAGGGACAATCATAATTGCCCCCGACAGCATGGCTACTAGGATCATTCAAGCGCACAAACTCCTCCACCACAATAAGGTGGCGATTCAAGGAGGAACTATTTAATTATACAATAAAAGCTGCAATCCAATAAAAGCAATGCCATTAACCAAAGGTCATGTTTCTGCCAGACTGAGCTGTCTGCATGAGCAGAGACATTTGACATAAAGCTCCAACCTTTTCATTCAGTTTGTTGGATCCAGCCACCCCAAAGCTGAATGTGTGCTTAGGGTCTTTGTCTTGCTGCATGACCCACCTTCTCTTGAGATTCAGTTCATGGACAGATGTCCTGAATATCTAATTGTAATTTGTATATGTTTGCTCTCTAAGTTGTGTTGTAGTGCATCTATTATGTTAAACTTTTCTTTTATTTCTTCAAACTCTCTCTTCATAAATCTTCGTTCTTGCTCATATTTCTGACATTCCAGTATAACATGTTGTATTGTTTCATCCTGTCCTCAGTGCTCACATATTTTCCTGTGTTGTGTTTCTTTATTTGAAATAGTGAATAATTAAGTCCTGTATCCCATATCTCAATCTTGTTATTAATCTTTCCTCCTTTCTGTTTCTTCTTCCAGTTCTTGTTTCTCCTACTGCATCTTCCTTTTATTTATTCATCCCATCTTTTCTGCCATTCTTTCTTCAGTTTTTGTTTGATGCTACTTTTTGCCTCTGATTTACTTGTATTTACTGTGAAGTTAGTGTGATTTAGAGTTGCCTTCTTTGCCATCTTATCTGCCATCTCGTTTCCTTCTATTCCAATGTGTGCTAGTACTCATAAACATGTTATTGTTAATCCCATCCTTTGTTTTCTGAATAATGTGTAGAGTATTTCTAGTAATATGTCTGGCCTGCTGTCTGAATGATTGTACTTTTTAAACTCAATAATGTGGAACTTGAATCTTAACAATAATTTTCAGTCAGATCATCTGGACAGTTTTTTTTTTTTTGCTGAAACCTTTCACCTTCCATCCAGAAGGCTTCATCAGTCAAGGAAACGCACAACACAAAACTGATTCTTCCCCCAAACAGCTTACTCCAAACTGGAACAAACCAGTTATGTTCTAAGATGGCGTCTTTGGCACGCCTCCTCCTGTGGTGCTGGCCCTCTTCAGTTATGACTGTCGACGAGGAAGAGGGCCAGCACCACAGGAGGGGCGTGCCAAAGACGCCATCTTAGAACCAACATAACTGGTTTGTTCCACTTTGGAGTAAGCTGTTGGGGGAAGAATCAGTTTTATGTTGTGTGTTTCCTTGACTGATGAAGCCTTCCGGATGGAAGGTGAAATGTTTCAGCAAAAAAACAAACTGTCCAGATGTTTTATGTTTGGCCTGGTCAGTGCAGTTTATGACATATGCTATGAATAATATTAAGTTTTCAACTGGCATTGTGGTATTTTCCTCTGTTTGTTGTTTACTGGTACTTTGTTGTGGGTTTAGTCTCTCTTTTTGTCCGTCTCTCTTGGCTTTTGTTCTTTTACACTTTTGACTGCCTCTGCATTTGTGGTGTTTTTACTTATTTAGGCCCGAGCAGCAAAGCGCTGCAAAGGCCTATTGTAATCGCTCTGTTCAGGCCCGAGCTGCAATTTTTTTCCTGCCAAATGAATTGGCGTTTTGGGGGCCTTAACATATCCCAAAACTCACCAAATTTGGCGGACGCATCAGGACTGGTGAAAAATTATGTATTTTAAGCGTGTGGCAAAAATCGCAACAGAAACGGATCAAGAGCCCCACCTAGAAATTTTCAAAATACCCTCCACATTAACCTTAGAAGCATGAAATTTGGTACGCTTGTCCAATTCCCCAAGATGCACAGAAAAACCTCTGGCACCAACATTGTACTATAAACAGGAAGGTGACCATTTTGGAATGCCGGCCCAATTGTCACACCTTTTGGGCGGTTTACAGCCTCCGCATTTGAATGAACTCCTCCTTGGGATTTCGCTCAATCGGTTTCAAAGTTGGCCATTTTGGTCAAAAGGCATGGGGGACGCAAAGTTATCTAAACGGTTTGTTTCGGAGCATGATGGGGGGGCAGACCTCAAAGTTTGACATCTCGCCATGAAAAACGAAACGCTAGTAGCTACTACATGAAAACTGTCTGAGACATCAAATCTTCAGTGATTGATCCACATCTGGTCCCCTGCAAGACTGAATGGTCAAATCATGACATCACTTAAGCCACGCCCCCTGACAACAGGAAGTATAAAGTTTTACGTTGAACGAACCCTATCTGACCCCGTTACCTGATCAGCATGATAGTGTGTCAGGTGACCGAAGACATGTTGGTGTAACTTGCTTTCCAACACTGACAGTTTTGGGTGGAGCATGTGGGTGTGGTGGCATGGCGAAGTAAGACGTAATGCCGTCACCATACCTTTGGCTCTAAATTCCACAGTTTTGAACTGAGGTGCACCAAAATCAGTATGATCGATCATTATCCACCCTTTGAACAGGAAGCCATGATAAGTGGCCAATAGCCTCCACAGCACCCCCTAGAATATTTTAAAACTTAAACCCCAAGCCATTTTTGGACCGATAATTCTGAAACTCGGTGAACATCTGTATCTTCTCAGGACTGATGAAAAAGTCTCTTGGAGCCCTGGTCCAAAACCAACAGGAAGTTGGCCATTTGGGGGCATTTTGGGGCATTTCTAATTGCGAATTTTATTGAACTCCTCCTAGGAATTGTGAAGGATTGCCTTCAAACTTGGTTAATATGCCCTTAAGACATTGGAGAGTAAAAGTTATCAAAAGCTTGCATTTTCGTATATGGTAAAGGGGTGTGGCAAGCCCTCAAAGTTGCGCTTCACTCCATAAATTTCCAAACACTAGAACTTTAACATTGAAAGACCGAAATGCACGAAACTTGGCATGACTCATCCTTGTTGGATGCCGACGATCCACTGTGGTCATATTTTGACGTGATAAAAGCCCCTCCCCCTCGGAACAGGAAGTCTCTTTTTTAATTTGGAATGCTTCCTCTTTGACACCATTGACCTAATCAGGATGATCCTGTGTTAGAAGACAGATCATATGGTCTGACTTGATTTAAAGTGCAAAACAGAGGATGTGGGCATGGCGAATTCAGAAGTGACGCCTTTGCAATACGTTTGGCTCTAAATTGCACAGATTTCAGCCGAGGTGCACCAAAATCACTATAATCGATCATTATCCACCCCTTGAACAGGTATCCATGATAAGTGGCCAATAGCCTCCACAGTGCCCCCTACATTATTCCTACAGTTATAGCTCAGTGATACAACATCCGATCCGCACCAGATTTATTGTGTCATCAGTGAGGACTTTTACACACATTGATATTGTGGTTTAACATATGACTCTAGTGTGCCCCCTAGATTATTCCAACAGTTATATCTCAGTGAAATATCATCCAATATGTACCAGATTTTATGTGCGTGATCAGTGAGCACTTATAGACACATTGATATTGCTCTTTAACATTTGACTCAATGGCGCCCCTACATTATTCCAACAGTTATATCTCAGTGATACATCATCCAATCTGAACCAGAATTTTTGTGCATAATCAGTGACCATGTCTAGACACATTGATATTGTTGATTCATGACATCACTTAAGCCCCACCTACTCAGAGAAAAAACTGTAGATTATCGGTTGACACTTCCAGCTTCGCACTGTGCAAGATATTAGACTGAAACTTTGTTCGCTAATTGTTGATTACCACACATGACATGTTGAAAAGCATAAAGGAGGTGCTTGTCAAACTTTCACCACAAAAAAGGAAGTCACCATAACTCCTGTCTGGAAGGTCAGATTTTGCCTATACTTGTAAGACCTGCAGTTGGACAAGTAACGACATGGACGGAACGTGATGTCAAAGATTTGGGAAATGCGCCCCGTGGTGAATGCGTGCGGGATTGGCATAAGAGCCTTCGCGATGGCGACTGAGTGGACTAGCTGGAGCTCACGCGGTCGCAGTAAGGCCGGAGCAGCGCTTGGCCGCGAGGGCCTCCAATGCTACTTGCAGCTTTAATTTCACCTGTTGGATTTCTTTTGCTGTTTTCCTCACTTCACACCCCCCATTCACTCTATGTTGTCCTCCACAGTTACAACACTTCTCCTTTTCTTCTTTAAATTATTCTATCCTATGGTCTTCTCCACACTATGGACATCTCTGTTTACCTTTGCATGCTGTTGCAATGTGTCCATATCTCTGGCACTTGTAGCAGCGAATTGGTGGTGGGATGTAAGGTCTAACTTGAAACTTCTATTATCCTATTTTGACGTTTGCTGGTAAGGTTGTCTCTTCAAATTCAATCATTATAGATAAACTTCCTACTCTTTCCCCATTAACAGTTCTTGACAGTCTCTTTAAGTTGTTTACTTGTGCACCAACAATGTTTATTTTTATCTAAATCTTCATTTACTGGAATACCATAGGTCACTCTGCGAACCATTTTATTTTTTCCTATTACCTTTCTTTCCATAACCATTCTTTTACAGATGTTTTCGACGTGCAAAGCCTTATTTTTTTGTTCTTCAGTTTTACATGACACTAATAAGTTTCCATCTCTTAACATCTTCACAATTTCTACATCCCCAATCTTCTTTTTTTATTTATTTTGATATCAGGATAGGGCTTATGTTACCTGCCCTTCCTCATTTTTTAGTTTTAATAATATTTTAATTTCATTCCTCACTATTTTTCTTCTTACTATCCTTTCTTCATCTGAGCTGCTCCCTTCCAACTCTCTTTTATTACCCTGGCTGTCCTTCGTTCCTTCCTCCATTTTATTTCTTCCTCGTTCTCTCCCTCCATAGGCGTCGCAACCATTATATGTGAAGGG